GTTAGATATCGACTAAGTAGGCAAGCTAGCATTAAACTTTCCTAAAATAATGAAAGAGATGTTGTTTCTTTCACGATATATACTATATTATATACAATATCAAATAAAGAAATGATATTTACCTATGGGGGAAACCCCCCCAAAAAAAAAGAAATCCAATACAATTTTTTGTATTGGATATTTCTGTCATATTTAAAAAATATATATATTAAACTCTTTATATAACTTAAAAATTAACTTGTAAAAAGTAACTATAATGTTTTTATATACAGTATATAACAAAATCAATTTTTTTATTTTATATATTAAAACAATTTTAAAAAGCAAATATGTCAAATTTCAATTATAACTTGAAAATAAACCTATATACTTAATTATAGCATTTTCATATAATTGGATACTACAAATCTCTTTAGTTTTTTATTAAGTATTGCTTGAGACTATATAGATTTCAACAGTTTTTTTATTATCATTTAAGCAATTGATATAAAAAAAACTAGGATAAATAAACTATTTTTTAGTCTTGTATTGAATTTTTCTTAGCAAAAAAAAATATATATTAATTATAACATTTGTAATATTATCAAGAAATAATTTTTATAAATAAAAGTTTGATTAATTATTGTTTTAGTTTTAAAAAAAAATATTATATATCTGAAAAAATAATAATAATCAACTATTGTATTTTTTATTTATAACAAGAATTTATAATAAATTTAAGATTTTTATAAAGTTTAAAAAAAATATTTGTTAGCTATTAGAATTTTAAAATCACAAATATATAATAAATATTGTAAAAAATATTTTTTTCAAAGTTTTTTCTTATTTTTTTGAGATTTTTATTAAAAACTATAAAAAATATAAGCAAGCGAATAAAATGTTTGTTTTAAGAAAAAATAATATAAAAAAGTATATTATAAACTTTATTGTTAGAAAATATAAAATTTTATAATATCTGTTTTTTAAATTGGTAAAAGGATTAGTAAAAAGAGTTTTTAATTATATATTCTTTAATAATAATTATTATTATTATAATTTAACAAAATTCAACAGAAATTTCATAATTTAAAAAACGTATTTTATTGGATATTAATTATAAAACCAATTATAAAAACACAGTATAGTTAGTTGTATTGATTTTTTTAATATGATTTTATGATTTCAAAAATTAGTAACAATAATTTTATTATGTTATACTGTATATACAGTATATTTATAAATTTAATTTTTTTTTGTAAATAAGGTAAGTTTAACTAATTAATTTCAGGTTTTAATTAAATGATTTTAAGCAATAAAAATTATGGATCGCAATTGTTAATGAAACCAATTTATACTTGAAAATCATAATGAATAGCTCATTCAGCATAAGTAGCAACGTATTAGCATATTAATTCGCGCTTACTCATTGTAGATATCTTTTAAAAGTTGCGATCTGCATTTATTTCAGATTAATTAGATTAGGAAATAGACTAACGACATAAAAGGTAGAAATATAAATTTTTTAAAGCGAATCCGTTAAAAAGATTCTACTTTTCCAGATCAAGTCATAATAATAAAGAAAAATCGACATGATTATTTAAACCTAACCTGAATTTTGTCTATAATTAAGAGTTGTGCAAGACATAATAAATTATAAACAAATCATTATACTAATTAGTACAAGCATAAATAAGAAGGTAATGAAAAACAAAAAAAAACGATAGCATAAAAATACAAGAATCTCCTATGGCTATTTCTTGTAATGTATCACAATTAAATTTTGTGTCAGTGTCCAACGAAATTTTTTACATTCTATATTATTAATGTCTGCAAGAAAAAAAATGAAGGAAAAAAAAAATGAAAGAACCGAAAACATAAATTATTCTGCCTTTGTTGATGATTTGTTCTTGGGTGGTGCAGCTCCCTTGGCGTTATAGGTCTTTTTATAAAATCCGATGAACAAAAGTAGATAACTACTCAATAAGGAACAACCAAATATGGCGGCACTTTCTTCACCAGCGCATGATCCAAAGTTTGGTATCCAGGGCCAATATGTGGAGGTGAAGTAGGTATAAGAACAAAAGTACACAAACACCAAATCAATTATAAACTGAACAATTTGTAAAGTCGTCAGATATTTCTTCCACCAGATTCTTGCACCGCCCGCAGTCCGGAAATAGTAATAGTACATAAAAACATGTACGATCAAATTTAGCGTGATAGGAACCCAAGACTTAATTAAATAAATAGATAAACTTTTTGTTATTTGGAGAGACCGAGAGTAAAAGCGTCAAATAAATCAAACATTACTATACCACAGAAGTTCGTCCACGCAACTGAGAATAGCACAATGCCATTGTCATGCTATGATGATAAACGTGCAAAAATTCTGAAATAGAAAGTTTTTGGTGAGAAGGATATAAACGCGTAAGAAAGTAATAACCAAAGTTTTAATCAACCTAAATTTTTCTTCTTCAACACCAAGAAAATAGTGTCAATTAGCTCCCACCACTTAACAAGATAGTTCAAGTAATATAAAAATTCTAATCGTTGAGTCCAAGCATCTCTATTACAAACAGCGTAAAAAATTCCATGACGCCAGTAGATAGGAAATAACTGTTCGACGAATAGTGCCAACAGCCCAGCGGAGGATACGGTCAACAAAAAATTGTGAACTTGAAAAAGGGATTTTGCTTTGATGACTGGTGCATTAGCCAAGAGCAATTGCCCACCAAATATCAAGGAAAGGTACGTGACACAACCAATTAAAACTTCAGGTAGAGAGGAAAGTGGAGTAACACCTTCAATAAATTGAAATTCATTTGGGTCTTTTCCTGTAAGATATGTGTAAACTTGCGTAAAATAGTCATAGGCATAGATTCCGAACGGACGGTCGATGCTAAAATAGAAAGAACTAGGGTTCACGTCTTCCATCGAAATATCTTTATTCAATTGAACTGATTGAGTAATAAAAACATTGAAGTATTCTGTGTTAAAGAGCATGCTCCTTCGGTACATAATAGATCTCAATTTCTCCTTACCTTAAAGTTAATTCAAAGAAAAAAGAGATGGATGATAGAGCTTAGCAAAAAAAAAAAAAAAACTGCATATATATACATGCATCATAAAAGGAAATTGTTACACGTGTAGGATGACAAATTTTTTACGCCATTCTAGAACCAGTTTTTCCTCCGTCAACAAAATTAAATATTACGAGCGTAAGAATAAAATTTTATGAATTATGCATGCATAAAAATCATGAATGACTAGAGTTGGTGATACTATTCTATTTATTCTATGTCAATGGCACAAGGTCATATCAGATTGTATACTTTTTATTTTGAATGATTAAATTATGATCGCATGTTAAGCATTTTGACGTGTAAATCATTATCTGAAATTCCTTCATCTTTCATTTTTCTCAATGTGACGGAAACTCTCAAACTACGAATAATTCGTTCGTCACCAATCGTATCCATTGTGGTGGCTTCAATTCCATGTGCCCAATTATACCTAGCGGAACCACTCATGGTCAACACATCCCCAGGT